CAGTTCACACAGTAAAACTCCACTTTGAAAGTGCACTGAAAGTGGATTGAAAGTGGATTACTTAGCGTGTGTGGCAGCAGCCATAGTGAAATAATGTGTTGCTTTCAGACTGGACAAAATTCAGTCATTGCTAGTGATGATAATAAAAAGTTTTAAAAGGAAGGGGGGGAGGTTAATGTGAAGAAAGGCGGACAGTGAGGTGGGAGGAGAGAGGAGACATGTTGAATTGGAATATATGGAACTATGAATGTATTTTTAAATACTTAGCCATCTACTTCCAGTCATTAAACCATGGAATTCAATCCAAATGTTGTAATTCCTAATCAGGGTCTTTTTGAAAGAAAATCCCAGATAGGCAAAGAGAAATATACTCTTTAAAAAAAACTTTTTAGAATAAGCCAAAATAATTTCCCTTTAATTCCCCTTAAAACAGATGCATCTCTTTCTTGCCCACTCTTCTTTTTTTAACATGAGTGTGTGTGTGATCAGGTCTCAAAGTAAACAGCAGAACAGGGCTTGTCAGAAGAATCCCCCTCCCTCTCTCTAAAGAAGTGTGCATGCACCGGAAAGCTTCTACCTGGAATAAAACTTTGCTGGTCCTGAAGGTGCCATGGGACTCCCTCTCCAAATGAGGGAAGATTGGCTTGGGAATGCAGCAGCAGTCCCAGAGGAAGGAGCAGGAGAGAGTGGAGAGAGCTTTTGTCTGGTGCATGCATGTGTGCTCTCTTTTTCCTTCCCCCTCGCTTCCTCCCTAGAGGAAGAGAGGTTTGGCAATGCAGCAGCAGCCTCAGAGGAGAAAGCAGGAGAGAGCAAAGGAGACTTTTATCTGGTGTGCGCGTACACTCTCTTTTTCCTTCTCCCTTTGCAGCAGCAGTAGTGGCTGGGAGAAGGAAGCAGCTGCTTGTGGGCCAGACATCAGCCCTGCACAGTAGACAGTTTTATGATTGCTAGGGATGGGCATGAACTGAATCATGAAGCAAAAATCATCATGAATTTTGTCCTGTTTGTCATTAGTGAACCAAAGTTTGTGACAGGTCTACCGTCATGAACTTCCATGAACTTTTAAAACAGTTCATGGTGGTGTCCTGATTTGGACTTCCCCGCGCTGCCCCTGGATGCTCCAAAGGGAGAGTTACCCAGCGTTGCTGGCTCCGGGTTTGGGCAGCAATACAGAGGCGATGGCACCTCGCCGCCTGGGGACCCACCGGCTGGCCACAGCAGAGGAGCGCGAGAGGAGCTGGCAGGGAGCCCACACAGAAGATGGGCAACAAGGGAGGATGGGGGATAGGGTGTGGGATGAGCTCGGCAACGCAGCCAGGAGGCCTGCCTGGCAAATCGCGTGTTGTGTCCGCGGACCGCCACTGGGCGCCCGCAATACAGCGGAGCTTGAGTCCGGAGAACAATGGGGACCAGGCTCCTGCACCCTGCCACTAGGGGAACCAATGGGACATTGGTGGGAGGTTTGAATGGGCCAATGGGAGGTTCCCCAGACTGTATATACGCGGCCGGTCGGCCGTTGGTGGGTGTGCGTGTTGTGTACCAGTAAAGTGTGCAGTGTATCATGCGTGCCTCAGCAATTCTTCCATGCGGCAAACCCACTACACAACATCGCGGTGGAGGCCCTGGCAATGGCCACACCAATGTTGTCCTAAGTTGCGACAGGAGAGAGACAGTGCAAGATGGCGACCCTGCCCAGGATGAGTGAGGGGGGAGGCGGGAAGGAGCCCTTAAAAGGGCAGTCGATGTTAGCCAATAGGGAGAGGGGAGGAGAGAACGGAGAGGCGTATGGGCCACTGGGGCAAGGGAGAGGGGATGAGGAAGGAGGATGGGGGAGTATAAAAGGAGGTAGGAACACTGGGGTCGAGGAGGAGAACAGGTGAGTGGCAAAGGATGGCAGTCGAGAGAGAGGGAAGTTCAGCTCCAGAGGGTGCCTGCTGCTGGCTGGCCAAGGCCCCTCACCTGATTACTGAGACCCCCAGCTGCCCATTTGAGACCCCCAGCACCATGGTGGAAGGAGGGGTGCCTAAGGGCAACCAGGGGCAGCCCGACAGGTGATTCATGGAACATAAAGCAGGGGTTTAAAAGGACTCTGAGCCCCTTAGTTTAAACCCCTGCTTTCTGTTCTCTGTGAAAGCAGGAAAAATAGCTGAGCGGCAGGGAGGTGCTCCTTATCGTTCAGCTATTTTGGGATGCTTTCTGCAGTCCCTTTAAAGACAGCCTGAAACAGCTGAGCAGCAAAGAGCAGGCTGCTCCCCATCGCTCAGCTGTTTTTTAGGATTTCTGCAAACCTCATTTAAAGGGACAGTGGCCCATTTGAACGGGGTTTGTGGGGCCAAAAACCAAGAACTGGTTCAGTTAATGAACAAACTTCTTGGTTCAGTTTGCAGTTCGGCCACAAACTGAATCACATTTTTTCAGTTTGTGCTCATCCCTAATGACTGCCCCAAAACATGGCATACACAGCATTTACCAGGCCAGGGGTAGTTATGCAACTCTGGGCAAAATTAGTTGTTTTTTTATGCTGACATACAAAACAGGGCAATTTGTTTGATGACTATTAGATATCTCAATGGGTGTGACTTGAAAGAAACACCCTCCGGACATATGATGGGCTGAATTCCTATTTTAAAACAGAGTAAAGTTATTACAATGTTGCCACCAGCTCTTAACCTGGCAGGTATGTTTTGGCTATGTACTCCATGTACTCTGGATTAGAGCCAGTGTAAAATTTTACTTGCACAGAAGCTCTTGTACACATGGAAACCACAAGATAAAGTCCAAGGTAGTCACTTGTGCTAAGTCAAACTTTTTATATTCTTGCTTCCATTTCTGTTTACCGAAGATCATGCACAACCAATTTCTGGGTGCTATAATATAAAGATAGGAAAGGTTCCGAACAAGCGAAACTTCCCTAAGCCTGTTTATGTCTCTGCTTGCACATGACAGACCAATTCCGCAAAAGCAGTTGTTCCGCCCTCGGTCTCCCGTTTCCCCCAGTTGTACTGCTCAATTTCCCACTATTTGCTGCATGGCCGTATTTTGAGCTGCATCTCCCTCCAATTTCCCCCACGTCTTAAGGATCAAGAAGATGCGGGGAAAATTGGGGGGGGGGGAGATGTGGTGCAAAATGCAGCCATGCGGCAAATAGTGGGAAATTGAGCAGTACAACCGGGGGAAATGGGAGACCGCGGGCGGACCAACTGCTTTTGCGGACTCGGTCACAGTCTCTAAGCCTCTGTGTCCTCAGATTTTGTGCCTTTCTAGGCTACTAGAAGTAGTACCTTAGAAAATACATAGAAGATGTGATTCTAAATAAAAATGATGCTGTCAATACACAAGCTCTGTCTTCCACCTTCTCCAGCCAAACTACTTCATGTGATTTTGGTCATAGTTTCCAGGTGAAGGTGGTGAGCTGGGGAATGAATGAATGGGGAGAGGGACAATAGAAGAAACCACAGGTGCAGCAGAAGGGGGAGAAGGAAATCAAGAATCACTAGGGTGGAGTTCTAAAAATTAGGGAGCTGGAAAGGGTGGTGGAGTTCTAGCGATAGTGACATACTAATCTAGCTGACCCGCAAACAATGCCTTCTTTGTATATCTTCCCCCAACAAGCTCAGGGTTTTCTCACTATTCCATGATCCTGCTCTGGGCCTTAGGCTCAAACAGAATGGCAACAGCAAAAGGGGGAGGTGGTTCTCCATTACATCCCATCCCTGATTCAAATTAAGAGAGGTTGTTTTCTCTAAACAGAAAAATATTATTTTGATATGTATGAGGGAAAATGCATTGGTTAATAAAATACAAGTCTGTGGTTACTTATATAGTAAAAAGCTTAGACATGGAAGCCATGGGTTTTAAAAAATACAGCATTTAAAAAACAACAATTAAAAGGGGAAAGCAAAACAAAAAATCTCTGTAACTAAAATTCACTATTTGTGAAAATATGTATCAGAAGCTACTAGCTAGGATAACTACAAGGAGTCCTCATGTCAGAGGTCACCAGTATCAGTTGTTGAGAGATAATGGTCCTATATGGTAGATTTAATAAAGACTGCATACTTAGCTAGGACTTGTCTCTGACATTCCGGCTGCATCGAATCAATGTCACACATACTCCTCCACTGCTGCTTATATGCAGACTTGTGTACCAAACATTTAAACTTGTTTTTAGTTGGAATGTTGGGCCTTTCTGATCACATTAAGGTTTATCGTCTCCTGAACGACTGCTTACCCAAAGTTACTGAGAAGGCAGCCCTGTTTTTACAGTATGCAATAAGAGTCCACTAGGAAATGTTATTGTATTAATTTTCTCTTTTAAATACCACATACACTCTTATATAGTTGGATTTGTACCCCCCCACCCCCAGTTCAACTGCTGCTTGTAGTATTTGTAAGTAAAGGTAAAGATTTCCCTTGCTCGAAAGCCAGTCGAGTCTGACTCTAGGGTTGCGGTGCTCATCTCTGTTTCAAAGCCGAAGAGCCAGCGCTGTCCGAAGACATTTCCGTGGTCATGTGGCCGGCCTGACTAAACACCAAGGCACACGGATCGCTGTTACCTTCCCACCGAAGTGGTACCTATTTATCTACTTGCAATTTCTTGCTTTCGAACTGCTAGGTTGGCAGGAGTTGGAGCTAGTGATGGGAGCTCACTCCGTCATGCGGCACACTCGGGTCTCGAACTGCTGAACTACCGACCTTCCACAGCCTGCAGTTCAGCGTCTTAACCACTTGAGCCACCGCAGCTCCTTGTAGTATTTGTACATGCCAATAAAGGTGACTGACTGACTGACTAGATGAATCTTTTGGTCTCATACGGCAGGGCTGCTCTTATGCATTAATTGAATACATTACTGTAGCTAGCCACATGTAGAAGCAAACTCTGCATACCTGTTGTGCATATGTGAATTTATTAGTGCCAAGGAAGAGTTTTCCTTGCACAGAATCCCATTAAAATTAACATTTTTTTTAAAAAAAAAGAACATAGGCTATTAAATACTTACTGTGTTTTTCTGAGACACCATGTCCTAGAAAAGAAAAGTAGGGAAATTTGTATAAGGAATATAATATGAATGCTATTTTAAGTGTATGTCATATACCCAGCTGACTAAAACTGTCAGATATTCTATACACCTATTATGCACAAGTTGTTAATACAAGACATTAGTTGCAACTCAAAGGTTTGTCATGTTTGTCACTGTTTATATCATGACTAGTGCACTAAGCCAGGCTCAGACACATCAGAGGAAGACTCAGATGAGCTCCAGGAAGAGACAGGGTTCCAGTTTGAGCCAGATCTGGAGGCCCCAGGGATCCTCAGCACCACAGGATTTCCCTCAGATCCCATTCCCATTGCCACTGAGAACATGCTCTGGGCCACTCAGCAGGAGCGGCAGAGACATTGGGCCCGTACCGAAGCAGCTTGGCAGAGACAAGGTGCCAGGCTTGCAGCCTGTGCTCCAGCTCTTGGGTCAGACCACGGTTCCAGTGGACATAACCCTTCGAGGATTCTGGCCCCAGTTAAGCCTTGACAATCAAGTCCCAAGTGGGGTTGCTTTCCTCTCAGCCTTGGGCTGAGTGTGTTTGTGTGTGTGTGTGTGGGGGGGATCTTGCTGTATCATCCAGTTCACAAAGCTCTTGTGCTCCAAACCCGACCCCAGACTCTAGACCCAGGCTACTCAGGAAGATCCTTCTTGCTGTTGTGCCTTGAGTCTGAACAGTTTATAAACTTTCACATTTACAGCTATATTGTAATACATGAGAATATTGCCTTTCAGCTCAACAGTGTTACACAGACAAATGAAGTAATTCACGATGACACCCAACTAGGGAATAAATGGAATCCTACCTTCAGTGACTGAGCAGTATCAGCATCAGTGTCATTGTAGAGTATAACATTATTGGCCATGTCAAAGCTTTCACGTACTCCAAGATGGTAGAATAAGGATGGTTGTCTGGAAACATCACTCATATCCACTACTGCAACATCTGCAATATATATGTTTATCTGCATTTTAACATTGTCTAGAGGACCCTAAGTTGGGTGGAAAGGCAGCATGCAAGTGTTTTAATTAAATAAAATAAATACATACAAAAAATTGATAAAAGCTAGCAAGGAAAAAAAATCTCTACATTAATTTATATTTTCTGGTAAAATAATGTTGAAACCTCTGGTTATAGGGCGGAAGGAAAATCTGGATTCCCATTTTTGAAGTCTAGTGCAATGTATCTGAATAATGATTTAAAAAGAACCTGTATATTGATTTTGCTTCAAATTAAGTGCCCATGTCCAAAAGCAAAATATCCATTTTGGTAAAAAGAAGAAGAAGAAGTCTGCATTTATGTTATCAGTCAGAAGACATATTACATTACATAAGTTAATGTAAAGGCTTTTAAGTCTTCTGATATTTCTCACGCATGTAATTATTCTAGCTGTGAGGCTGTGCCCTGCTCTTCCTGAGGTGGTTTACAGTCTGCCACCTTGCATCTGGTCCAGAGGGAGGTTTCCACAGGCCTCAGAATGGGATGGGAGGCTCCACCTGGCTCCTTCTCCTCCACTTGGGGTAGCCAACTATCACTTCCTCCTTCATCTGCTTTTGAAACCTCATTTTATTCCCCCCCAAGCTCCTCCCCTCCCACACCCTCCTATTGCCAGCATTTCCCTTTTCTGCTAAGAGACAGCCTGTAGGCAGCACACATGCCACTCACCCAGGCTGCTGCTGCATTGGTTCCTTTGCCCCTGTGCCCCTCCCATCCTTCTGCCCCTCCCCGAGTCTCCTTCGCATGGCCTACGCCCATCTGGGCAGCCAACCCACGTGCTATTTGTTGTGAACACTAGTCATTATTATTGTTTCCCTTTTGATTCTTTGCAGGCAGTCATCCATCTGGAAAGAGACCAAGATGGACTCCATTCACAATGCAATACCAACACCGGCTGAGGCACTTAACAAATGCAATGGTCACTGTACATCTAACAGCTTTGCTGTGAGTTTATCTTTTACACCTAATCCATATGATGCCACAAAACACAAGACAGAGAGTATTTAAATATATGGAGTTATTACACGTATGCGTATCTTCTCACTTGTTCCACTGGAGAGGAGTGTTGTACATTCACTGGAGAACCAGGAATAGTCAATCTGGGCATTAGTGTGAAGAGAGGCTCAGTATTTCCAATTCAAAAGTAAGAAAGGACTAAGGAGTTGTATGTTTTAGTTAAGTAATGTATTGTGATGTTATGGTATTACCCTATCATTGCTGCCACCTGCATACTGGTTAAAACTAGAAAAAACCTGTTGTATTTTTCTTGAGGAATACTTCCAGAAGTAACAGAATACACAAGGTTTTATAAAATGAAAATCAATTACTATAACAACATAAAATAAATGTAATAATTATGGGGGGGGGGGAACCTACACTAAATAGACAGATCCAAGTAGGGTCAGGTTGAAATTTGGAAACAAAAAACCTGTATCATGTATTTAAAATGCAAAAAAACCTGGAAAAGATTGTATGCTTGCACCTACTACACTGTTGGCATTATATTTTTTAAAAATACATTTTACACGCTTCTATGAGGACCTAGCCCGGTTCCCTTCATTATCCCTTCCTTTCTGGATGAGCAGCCCCTTTATTTTCTTCTTTACTGAAGATGGTTGTCCCACCCTGTCACTTAATTGTATTTTGATGCTGGCTCAGCACAAAAACTTGAGGAAAGATACAAGATCACCTCTTTAAACTTCTGAAAACGGCACATGTTCAAAAATAAACAAGGTATTTTATTCAACGTGGGACAACGTGGGGGGGGGTCAGGTGAAATCAGGGGTAAAATGTCTGAGGTAAATCAATAATGAATTCTGAGGTAACTTAGTAATTTCACTTTGATATGTTTCCAGCAAGTGAAAGTTTTTTAGCTTTTCACGAATTATTAGAATCTTAAAGACGAGAGGCTTTGGGTTTTTTTTTTAAATACATTTTTTATTTATTTTTAAATTTTATAAACAATATAACAATTCTTATAAAATTTACCTTTAAGTTTTTGACATTTAAACAACAACTTAAACATACATATTACAACAAGCCAACAGACTGCCTTTTCTTAACATAACTAATCAAGGCAACTTCATTATATTATAATATTCATGGTTAACAAATGAAAATTTACTTATAGGGTTTTTATCTATGTTTTCTAATACCGTTCCCCATTTCTGTAAAAACAACAAATACGCTTTATATGGATCCTGGACATTAATGCCTGTTGAAATCTTGTTCATAATAAAATAATCCCAAACTTTTGAATACCACATTGAAATCAGGGGGGAAGTTGTTTTTTTCCAAAATTGTGCCACTAATGTTTTAGCTGCTGTTAATAAAGTAATTACCAATGATTTTGTAGAGGAATCAATAGATTTTAAAGGCCAATAATTTAGTAATATACATTCAAGTGTATTCGGAATCTTAATTTTTGTTAACTTATTTATATGTATCAATACTTTTTTGCCAAAATGATTTTGTGACTGTGCACTCCCACCAACAATGCTTAAAAGTACCCAGTTTTCCACATTTCCAGCAATTTGGTGAGTATGCTTTATTTACATGGTTTATTTGAACAGGTGTTGCATACCATCTTGACATTATTTTATAATTTTGTTGTACAATTAATCGATGGTGATTGTAAAGCTTGAGAGGACCAAATTGAATTCCATTGTTCGCTTGTTAATTCTAATCCCAAATCTTTATGCCATGATGAAATATATGTTGGTTGTATTGAAAAGGTTGGGCTCAACAAGCATATATATATTTTTGAAATCAAACCTTTTAATTTGTCTGGATTACTAATTAAAATCTTCTCAAAATCCGTAAGCGGTTTATGCAGGTCTCCTTTTATACTTGGTGTGTTTAAAATTTTTTGTATTTGTAGGTACTCAAACCATGGAATTGGTGTTCCTATTTTTTTTCTAATTGTTCTTTTGTCATTATGGCCCCTTTTTAATGATATCATATACTCTAATAACTGAAGCCTCTCTCCAAGTTCTAAATGATGTTCGTATTTCTGCAGGTTTAAACCATGGCTGTCCCACGAAGGAGGATGCTGGGGAAAAATCTGGTGCTAAAAATTTCCTGTTGTTATTCCAAAAATGTAACATTGCTTTAATAAAAGGATTATCTTGAATTGTTTTGGGGCGATCTTTTTTCCCTAGCCAAATCAGTTCTATATAACTCTTTGGTTTACAATATGATTCTTCTATTTCCATCCATTCCACCTCTAACTTTGTTTTTTGTAGTCTAAGTAAACTAGCTAAAATTGAGGCCTCATAATACAAGGTCAAATCTGGAAAAGCCGTTCCTCCTAGTTTTTTTGGTCTTCTTAGCGTCTCAAATCTTATTCTATGTCTCTTATAGGTCCAATAAAATTGATTCAAAATTTTTTTACCATTTTTTTAGGTTTTGGATGGGAATCAATATAGGTAACGCTCTAAACAAATACATAAATGTAGGTAAAACAAATGACTTAACCACATATTGTCTTTCAAGCCACGTTAATGTTTCTTTGTTCCATCTCTTTAGTAGTTTTTTTATAGATTCTGCCATATCTACAAAATTACGTTTAAAAAGGTCCTGAATGTTTAAGGGAATTTTCACCCCCAGATAAGTCCAAGTTGAAGTAATCCAATTATAACTGAATTTGGTTTTTATTTTCACTGTCAATTCTGGTGATAAATTTATAGGGTATAATATAGATTTAAGCTTGTTTATTGTCAAGCCTGAGTGTTGTCCAAATTCTTTCAAAATAGTTTCTAATTCTGGGATGGTCTGGAGTGGATCTGAGATATATAAAACTAAATCGTCCGCAAAGAGACTTATTCTATGTTCAGTTTGATTTATCTTTATACCACTTATTTTTTCAGATTTTCTTATTAAGTTCGCCAATGGCTCTACTGCTAGAGCAAAGAGCAACAGAGACAGGGGACATCCCTGTCTCGTTCCCCTGGTAAGTAAAAAATCTTCTGAGAGTAAGTTACTTATGTTAATTTGAGCTTTGGGTGCTGTATAAAGGGAATTTATTAACGTTTGAAACCTTATACCAAAATTTAATGATTGATTGCAAAAATAAAGGTTCCACCTGGTCAAACGCTTTTTCTATATCTAAAGCTAATATACAATCATTTTTTCGAAATTTGGTACTATAAAAAATTAAATTTAAAGTTCTCCTAATATTATCTGTGATGTTTCTATTGGAAATAAATCCTGTCTGGTTTTTATGGATATAATCCCCAATATATGATTCAATCTTTTAGACATTAATGAAGTAAAATTTTTATAATCATTATTTAGTAATGAAATGGGGCGATATGATTTAACATTAGTCAGGTCTTTTTCTGGTTTTGGGAGGATTACTATTTTTGCCTGTGACCATGAAGGTGGCATTTGACCCTTTAATAATATCGAGTCGCATAACTCTGCTAGATGTGGTGCTATGGTTTTTGCATAAGATTTATAAAATTCCCCTGGAAGTCCGTCTCTCCCTAGTGACTTATTAAGTTTAATTGCTTTTATATTCTCTAAAATTTCTTCTTGTGATATATTTTTTCTATAAATTTTTTATGTTCACACGTGAGTTCCTTAATTAATTTATTTGATTTTAAATAATTTTCTATGGATTTTATGTCTGGGGCATTAGAATTATATAATTTTTAGTAAAATTGAGTAAAAACCTTCAATATCTCTTCAGAAGATGAAACCTGGGTTCCTGAACTATTTTTAATAATATCTATATGCCTTTCTGCCACTTCCTTTTTTAATTTCCATAACACTTTTAATGACCTAGAGCTTTTAAACCAATATTTTTGTTTTGTAAATAAAAGTTGTTTCTTGATTTTTGACGTTTCTAATGAATCCAATTTTTTGCGTTCTTGTAATAACTGGTTATATACTTTTTTCGAACCAGATTGTTTATGTTTCAGTTCTAGATCTTTTATTGAATCTAA